TTGTTATGCCGCATGCATGTTGATAGCAATTTGGCAAGAGATACAGTATAATTTAGATAGAAGTAAAACCAGAAACAAAGCAAAGTAGAAAACCCCTGTTAACAATATTCTAAACCCTTTTTTCAGAAGATATTAAAGGGCTTGTTTATAACCACTGCTAGAATACCTACAACAGAGATCCATCTTCTTTGTATGACTTCAGAAAGAGATCCTAATGAGTTTGGGAAATAATCCCATTAAAAAANAATTACTTTTCAAGCAATTACCTCCCTTCTACAAATGCTTTACAGTAAGTTTCATGCTTATGAACCACATTTACCAAGACACTACCAAAACACTTATCCAACTACATTGTATCACTGACTGGTTTGGTTTTAGCAGGTAGAATTAAAAAATAAATTTAAAAAATATTGTTAACAATTTTTCGTAGGGACAGCACATGACCTACAAGACATTTTGTGACAAAATAGTTAATAATAAAAGGTTATATTTAATGAGTAGTAACTTATTTAGAACTGCAATATGGCATTTAAAATCTAATTAGTTTATCCCTTTCTCCACAGACAGAGCAGAAAAAAGAGGTAAACTAGCAAATGAGAAGAAAAATAATACAATATAAATTGGTACAGAACTGGTAGAAATGAGAACAATATTCATTCTGCTAACGGTGCATTCAAATCGGTCAAATCTAAAGGGCACAAAAGACAAGCAAAATGTGTAGTCTGAATTAATTACAGTAAAATTGCATTGCAGAAAGAAATCTTTGAAAGTGTACATTCAAATATAAGAGGAAAAAATCTTAAGAGGGGTGAAGGAAAAAAAGGAGGCAAGGAAGGTATGCAAAAAACTGCCTCCCAGGAAACACCAAGGAAACTATTCTGTCTGTGTTTCCTCTTGGTTGGATGTAGGATTGCACCGAAAGGAGCATTGGACTGAACAAATATTTACACTCTGGCATCCCTCAATGAAGAAGGTGTGAGAAAAGGCTGCAGACCCCAGTTTACAAATGAATCCTGATATTATTGCCTAAGTGGCTGTAGAGTTAATAGGAGTAGCCAGAAATCTTCAAAACCAGACTCCAGAATGCTCAGGATGAGCTTAGCCTTTTGCTGGCTATATAAAGAGCATAAATAACTTTGAGGCACAATCATGGATTCCAGATGCAGTATGAGGAATATAACAGGCAACAGAAAAGCTGAAGAGGAGCATGTATGAATTTCTCAGGAGCTCAAGGTTATAAGAAGCACAGTGAACTTCCCAACAGAAGGTTGCCCATGGGCTCCAGTCCTCAGGAGCTTATACCTAGTCTGGGGTCTTTTCATGGACACTGAGTCTGGCTGTGAAGAAACACCTTGTCATTCTATCCTTGGATTTCAAGAGGGAAGCTATTACTGGTACCTGACCACAGAACATAGATGAAGCCTTATCTTCCTTGAGGGGGCTAATACGCTGTCAAGGGCTTGCTTTATCTTCTGTAGAGGTGTTCACAGAAAAAGCAGGTCATATGAACATAGCCATAGAAAAGGTTTTGCATCCTTTAGTCCCGAGAGACCACTTTGTATTTTTCCAGGGAGATGGCCTCATAAAACAACCTAAGATTTTTTTTCCTCAGAAGGAAGTTGATCACCCAGGCATAATACCTGAAAATATTATGAACTCTTAGGATTTTTTTTTTGTTTTGTTATTAGGTTGTTTTTTGGTTCTCGGTGGGTTGGTTTTTTTTTTTGTTTGTTTGTTTTTTTTGGTTTTTTTTTGGGGGGAGTGGTGTCATTGCTCTTTTTTTAAAGTACTCAAACAACAGTATCAGATATGTAGCATGAGCCACAGAGATTTCCCAGAGACAACTTAGGAAACAATAATTTCACAGTCCAGTATACAATTTTTGAAGGGTAGAGCTAGGCTGGCAGATTAACATTTACATGGCACATGACAGCACCGTGAGAAGCCACAGCGTAACCCAAAGGCTGCGTCTTTGGAGAGCTGTGACGAAGCTGCTCTGAGCCAGCTGAGTGCAATGGATCCATGCCGTCAGTATGAGCTATTCCCAACTCTGACCTCGAGTTTCTTCATTGGGAAAGCTATTTAGCTTCTGTCACAGCTGAGTAGGAATAAAAAAAAAAAAAGACATAAGCAACATGGCCAGTGAGGAGTGGATGGGCGATGGAGACAGGTGAGGCAGGAGAAGGTGAACTCAACTGTTGACATGATGGTATGGATGCCACAAACCTGAACTGATAAACATGTTAGCCAGTTCATTACAAACCCACATATCTTTACATTTATATTTCACTCACTGTTTTTTTCCACTATACAAGCAATCTGTCTTCAAAAAGGAACTAGAGAGTCAGTCAAAATACATCTGTTTTCTTCAGGGAGTTTATAGTTGGTATCCATAATACAATATTTCATTTTCTATGGAAAAGATTCTTATGCACAAGTTATTAATAGTATTGAATCTAGGTGATCAATATATCAAGTTCTAATGCTGTCTCAGTGATTAAAGCATACTATTAGAATTTTACCCATACCAATAATTTTTAAACTCTACTTTGGATTTACAAATCCATGTATATTATGGATTATGTTAACAAGTATAGGATTTGCTAACAAATACATACTTTTAAGAAAATGACTGAAATTTCCACTGATTTTGATTAAACCTGGTAGTGTATCCAGGACTACCTGTAATTTGCAGTACATTATCTCAGAATCAGACACATAGCAGTTCAAGGAACTAGAAGAGCTTCATTACACACAATACAAACTGGTAGAAAACAGCATCTCTGAGGGCGGCCTTCCACAAAAGATTTCCTGATTAGCTACAGATCCTCATAATGATCACCAAAGAAAAACTGGGCATGACAAAGCTCAGAAATAACTTGAAAATGCTGATGTCACCTTGTTTCATATATACAAAATTTTCACGAGTCCTGAGCAGCAGCTCCGCAGGTAACTGCCAGAGAACTTTCAACGCCTATGAACAACCAGTTAAACATTTATTTCTAAACATCATTATTTTCTCCAATACTACACCTGCACCTGGAAGTCCAGACTGACACACCATTTTTATGCAAAAGATGGCTACTGAAGTATCATTAACTAGATCTCTGGTAACAACTCTCATAAAAATTTCTATATACATAAAATATGTAAAATTAGTTTTAGACATTAGTACAGAGGTAGGATTGATGAGCCACAAGAAGGAAGTTTCTGCACAATCAAGGGCAGGAAGAAAAATGAAGAGCGAAAACCAAAGGGAAAGATACAGATTACATAGTCCAAAGCAAGTTAGGATAGCTCTTTTTTTGTTGTTGTTGTTGTTGAGTTTTTATTTTGTCTGGGGTTTTTTGCTTTGTTTTGGGATTTTTTGTGGTTTTTGGGGGTTTTTTGGGTGTTTTTTTTTTTTTTTTTTTTAATCCAATCTATACCCTGGTTAGCCTGTGGCTACAATATTCTGCTTATTGTAAATCACTCATACAACATAAGCCTTGTGCAGGACACAAATAAATTTACTGAAGTTCACTACAGCTGTCTCACAATAGCTGAGATTCAAGATGTTAGAACAGACTAGAATAAAACTCTGACTTT